ACAATTTTAACTGCAATTCTTCCATGCTATCAGCCATCAAGACTAAATCATCTGCATACAAAATCTCAAATAACAACCCCTCCATTATGTTTCCACACACAACATCCATCACAATTGCAAACAGAAACGGTGATAACACTGATCCTTGATGCACTCCTACCTTAACACTAAAAGCGTCCGACATCCCCCTTCCAACCCTCACCTTTGTCTTTGCCCCTTCGTACAGCTGCATCACAGCTTTAACAAGTCTCTCATTCACTCCTTTCTTCCTCAACGCCCATTCAATGACCTTCCTCGGTACTCGATCAAAAGCCTTTTCTAGATCCACAAAACACATGTACAATCTTCGTTTCTTCTTTCTATAATTCTCCTGCAACATTCTCGCCATGAACAACGCATCCACCGTTCCCCTACCAGGCATAAACCCACACTGCATTTCATTAACTGTCACCATACTTCTCAACCTCCTCTCAAGCACCCTCTCCACTACCTTCATTCCGTGCTCTAGTAATTTCACACCCCTGTATGACCCACAATCTCTCACATCTCCTTTGCCCTTATACAACGGCACCAACACACTGTGTCGCCAATCCTCAGGTATACCTTCATCATCAAACATACTGTTAGCAATTCTCATCATAACTTCAATTCCTATCACCCCACTCGCTTTAATATGTTCAGCCGCCAATTCCGAAACCCCTGTCGCCTTACCTAGTTTCATTTCTCTAACTGCTTTCTCTACTTCCTCCATCGTCACCTTCTCTATAGGTCCGTGTGTGACCACGGATTCCACATCTCCATCCCACTCAATCTCTTCATTCATCAACCTTTCCATATGAGCTTTCCACACCTGAGCTTTTTCCTCCTCATCTATGCACAATTTGAATAATGATGACAAAAACATTAAAATTAATAAACATAGAAAAGAAAGGCAATAGCACTAAAATAATAATTTATCAAAAACTATAAACACCAAATAGTTTAGTTTTTAATGGCTCTAATTAGTTGATTTTTTCAATAATAGCCAAAGTTTTTACTAAGTGAACAAAGTGAAGATGCATACATAAGAACACTTTTTCTCAACATTATCCATTTCCCTCTCAGAGTCCATTCACAATCAGCTGGTCGGCCTCTGACTGGTTGGTTCATTGTTGTATGAAACACCAACGAAAGATAATGTAACAGTGATTTATTGCTGTTTAACATGTCGGCTTACTAAAATAACATTAAAAACACGGAATTGAAAATGTTAACAAATTAACAACGACTGCATTCTTTAACTCTTGTTAATAAAATTTATTTTTTTAAATAATTATTATTAACAATATTATCTTTATTTTTCACACTTTTGTTATTTTCATTATAATTTTTATCAGCATTTTATCATTGCTTCATTATGTTGTACCGAATAGTTTTTTTCTTTCAAAATATCAACACTCTTACAAATGTTGTTTTATAAGCGGAACATGAACAGAACAACATGAACAGAACAACTCCACAACATGATTGAACATGATAAAACCAATATGTAATTTGATGTTGATGAGCTTTACTAAGCCTTGTATGTAGATACATTGAGAGATAGGTGGATAGATGCCTTTATGTGCAAGTAGAAAGCAATCATGAAAAGTCACGAGAAGAGAATCAAAACTTACAAGCAATGTTGCTACACCATCATCACAATCATATGATCCGATCATCATTTTCTTATCTTTTTATCATCGTCAAATCATCAATAACAACGAACAAACGAACGAATGAATGAAATAATGAATGAACGGACGAACAAATGAACAAACGAATGAATTCATGAACGAACAAACGAACGAACAAATAAAAGAATGAATAAATGAATGGACAAACAACTATGTATGAGAAAAAAGTTTTACAATGCATTACGTTTGAATTAACGAGCTGTACGCAGTTTTATCGCGTGGCACACGCCATAAAAGTCGGCTCGTCTGTATGGTAGGCGACATCCTAAAGCTTTCCATTGCAGAGCCTTCCATTACAAAGCTTTCCATTACACATAAAAAATTTTCGAATATCCAGAATCAATTTAAAAATATAAAAATAAAATAACATTTTAAAATACAGGTTTAAAATAAGCGAATGATTTTGAAAAATGGATTGAATATCAATGAATAGTAAGTAGTATAAGAATTTTTCAAATACTTACATACGTGAAAAAAACAGCAACAGAAGGTAAGACAGAGAGATACTGAAAGAGAGAGAGAGAGAGACAGAAAAAAAAATTTTTTTCAAGAAAAATGTTTTATAAATTTGCCAGAATTCGATGCTAGGTTTGAAGCTCATGTGTACGTACATCGTTGGCATTCATCGAAAGTGCAATGCTGCATTTGTTATGAAAACATAATGACATCAACATAGATATCAACAATAACGTCTACTACAATTTCAACAAAAATGTCAACAACGACAGCAATAACATTAACCATTCCCACAATAACACCACAAACATCTCCAGCGATAACACCAGCAACATCAACAACAACATCAACAACTGCATTTTAAAAAAGTTTCTAATCGTGAATATTAAAGAAAGGAATAAGTGATTAGAGCCGAAAGAACGAACCACTTTGAAAAAGATGGATAGACGGACGCACGTCAGAATGATGGATGAATGACGGATTTGATAAATGAAATAATTGGATAAAAAACTTCCATAAAAAACACAGAATAATTGATGAAGAAATAACAAAGAAATGTAATTAATCATTTTAAAATATTATCAAAAACATCAGCGGGGGATAGATCAAATTATTCATGAATGTGATGAGAAGGCAGGGAAGGTTTGATTGGAGAGGTCATCAATCAGTTATGGGGACAGGAGATCCCAGTGCCCGTGTGACGTGCGTGAACATCTGAGGAGGTCATTTTGAATAATGACCTTTCATCTTAGACAACTTCATATAACTTTCTTTGTAGTATGTGTGCGTGCGCGTGTGTATGTGTATGTGTTTGTTTTGTGTGTGTGTGTGTGTGTGTGTGTGCGATGTATGTGTGAGTCTGTGCGTGTGATTCACATACTACAACATATAGAGTATCAGCAATATTAATCCGGCAATAACAAAATTGTCCATTGGTATTTATTTCGTATTTAATCAAATTATCCATTCATTTTGTGCTGATTGAATGAATGCCATTCATCTGGTAATTAGCGACATCTTGATTATTTGTGAATAATAGAAAAATAAATTAATGAAATTTAAAAATAAAGTGAATTTTTTAATATGTAAATATCATTGCATTAAACTAACATTCCAAAACCCTTACTATGATACATAATAATATAAACGTTGAAATGATCGCTAACAATCCTCATGATTTAAAATTACCGAGAGATAATAACAAAAAATAGATTCATGAAATTGAATCACAAAACCACAAAAGAAAATTAAAAAACTAAACATTTAGATGCAGCAAATTTACTTGAAAAAATAATTTTCAAATTGAAAATGGTAAAATAAACTTGCTTAAACGAACGACATAAAATAAAAGAGATTCAACCTAAAACTGTGTGCTGCCCAATAAATATCAATAGACCGCTAATTATACTTACATCCTGGGGCAACAATGCTGTTCCTGGTTTCTACAAAAAATTGTTTGTGTGTGTTTGTGTGTGTGTTTGTTTGTTTGCGTGTGTTTTTGTGTGTGTTTGTGTGTGTTTGTGTTTGTTTGTGGGTGTGTGAGTGCATGCATGTTTGTTTGTGTGTGTTTTTGTCTGTGTGTGTGTATGTTTGTTTGTGAGATTGTGCGTGTGTGTGTGTGTGTGTGTGTGTGTGTGTGGTGTGTGTGAAATAAAAAATAAATAATAAAAATTTATAAAATTAAAAAAAAAGCTCATTATCTTGATATGATTACTTTAACGTGAAAGATGAAAGTCATTTTTGCTATATATATACAACATATTAGAGTGCACGCGTGTGTGTTGTGTGATGTATGTGGTTGTTGTGTGTATGT